TCCTACTAAATATTTTGAAAAGACTTCTGAACGGCTTAGTACTGCTAGTGGTTCAAAACTTCAGGTTAATTATAAACTTCCGAAAGCAATCATTGAAAATTATAATTTAAAAGTTGAAACATCGTTTCTCCTTGTTAAAAACCTAAAAAATGGAGTTATTCTTGGAACTCCGTTCATCAAATCTCTTTTTCCTCTAACTATCACAGGTGAGGGTATAATTACTTATCATTTGGACAAACCAATTGTTTTTAAATTTCTTAAGAAACCCATCATAAGAGATTTGAATTTTATCCATTACAAACAAAAACAAATCAATTTCCTTAAAGAAGAAATTTCTTTTAAGAATATTGAAAATCAGTTAAAGCAGCCTGAAGTTCAACAAAAGATCAAAGTTTTGCTTGAACAAATCCAAAATACAATCTGTTCTGATCTTCCGAATGCTTTTTGGCAAAGGAAAAAACATATCGTAGATCTTCCCTATGAAAAGGATTTTAATGAAAGGCAAATCCCAACCAAAGCTCGTCCTATTCAAATGAGTGGTGAACTTCTTGTCTTTTGTCAAAAAGAAATTGCTGATCTCATTTCTAAAGGTCTCATCAGGAAAAGCAAGAGTCCTTGGTCTTGTTCTGCCTTCTATGTCAATAAGCAATCTGAAATTGAGCGTGGAACTCCACGGTTAGTTACCAATTACAAACCTCTTAATCAAGCTCTTCAATGGATTCGGTATCCGATTCCAAATAAGAAAGATCTTCTCAATCGTTTGTATTCGGCAAAAATCTTTTCTAAATTTGACATGAAATCTGGGTTTTGGCAAATCCACCTCAATGACAATGAATGTTACAAGACAGCTTTTACTGTTCCATTTGGTCAATACGAATGGAAGGTAATGCCTTTTGGACTGAAGAATGCTCCCTCTGAATTTCAGAGAATCATGAATGATATCTTCAATCCATACTCAACTTTCACTATTGTCTACATTGATGATGTTCTTGTCTTTTCTCAATCTATTGATCAACATTTTAAACATCTTCATATTTTTGTAGATGTAATTAAGAAAAGTGGTTTAGCTCTTTGTAAATCAAAGATCAATCTATTTCAAACAAAAATCAGGTTCCTCGGTCATACTATTTATCAAGGGACTATTACTCCAATTTGTAGAGCTATTGAATTTGCTGACAAATTTCCCAATCAAATTATTGATAAAACTCAATTACAAAGATTTCTTGGTTGTTTAAATTATGTAGCTGACTTCTTTCCTCAGCTTAATAATCTAATCAAGCCTCTCCATAATCGTCTTAAAAAAGACCCTCCTCCCTGGACTGATGTTCATACTGACGTAGTCAAACAGGTCAAAGCTAAGGTAAAGGAACTTCCTTGTCTTTATCTTCCCAATCCTCAGGCTTTCAAAATTGTTGAAACTGATGCCTCTGACATAGGTTATGGTGGCATTCTTAAACAAAGAGTCTCAGACAAAGAGCATATCATTGCATACACTTCAAAACATTGGAATCCAGCACAGCAAAAGTATTCCACTGTCAAAAAAGAAGTTTTAGCAATTGTTTTATGTATTTCAAAATTTCAATCTGATTTATTAAATCAAAAGTTTTTAATCCGTGTTGATTGCAAATCTGCAAAAGACATTTTACAAAAGGACGTAAAGAATCTAGCATCTAAACAAATTTTTGCTAGATGGCAAGCTATCTTAAGTGTTTTTGATTTTGAAATTGAATATCTCAAAGGCACCTCAAACTCTCTCCCTGATTATCTCACTCGTGAATTTCTGCAGGGAAGATAAACAGTGTCCTGTCATGCCGAAATCGGTAAAATCAACCTCTTCTAAAGAGAGGAAAGGAAAGCTAATCCTGGCTGGGTTAGCTAAAAAATTAGAAAAAACTGGGTCTCCAGCCCAACAACAATCTGGGTCATCTACCCAACCCCAAACTGGGTCATCTACCCAAAGAGTTGAGGATACTTCCTCTTCTAAACAATCCAAAGCAGACTATGCAATGCCAATCCAAACACTTCAAGCCTTCCAAGACCAAGGTTTGACCATCTACCAAAGAAAACCTGGGCTGAAATAGCTTCAGAAGATGAACAGGAAGAAAGTCTTTCTGTTTTGATTGATAACCTAAAAACCAAACAGATCTCTAACCGTCCAAACAGGGCCCTAGAAATCCAACCCAAACCTATTTCTACCCAGAAACCAAAACCTCAAACACCATATGTCTCAAAGAACAAGTTTCTAGAAGTAATCCAAATGGAACCATCCTACTGGGATAATAAACCAACCAAGGTTCCTGTGAAGATCTTCCCCAAAGACTTCAAAGGACGACAATTTCATTTCAAACCTCATTCTCCAACTAAATCCCAAAATTTTTATGAGTTTATTCTACTTGATTCAAACTCTATTTCCATCAAACACTATAAGAGTCCAAAAGACCCTGAGTTTATTACTCATTCAACCATCCAGATTCTCAAGGTGATCACCCCAGCAGAATATGGAAATCCAAATAAAATAACCAAATTTTCCCAGCCTTATGATCCAATTGGATATAATTATTGGGACTATGAATTAGCCTGGACCAATGTCTTCTTCATGCAAAATAAAGAAAACAAACATTCATGGTTAATTTACTTTAAGCAAAATATCCAATATAATTTCCCGCAATGGTTTAATAAATGGTGGGATTATTTTGGACCAATCCTTGATATCCTTCCTCCACAAGTCTTTGAAGGAATGACAATCTTTTCCAAAAAATTCGACAATCTAGCAGATCCCTTTCCAATAGATCTGCATTTTTTCTCAAAGTTCTCTCTGGCATGGATATTTTCATGGCAGTACAATTACGGCGAGAAAACAGGCATCAGACTACCATTACTCAGGAGACAAGCTTTTGTTAAATGGTGGATAGAATTTGATGCTTCAAGAGCTTACCCAGAAAATGTCAAGCTCTGGTTTAAAAAACATCCAAAAAGCATCAAGCCAGCTGATCCAGAAACCTCCGTTTTCTTGAATCAAAAGGCTCAGATCACAGCAGCATTAACAGCATCAACCAGCAAAGAAAATTTTGCAAAGAATTTGCAAGGTATTCTTCAATTACTCCAAGAAGAAACTGAGAGTTCTAAACAGAAGACAGGTTCTTCATCTCCTTCTATCTCTTCTTCAACCGAAGACTTCTACCAAAATGAGGATGATTGTTTTGGAATCAACTTAGCAGAAGACTGTTGAAGAAAACCACTGTAGTAACGCTGATGACAAAATGACATGAGCATGATGTCAGCATAAGGTGACGCATACAGTGACGTAATCAAAGTGTCGGCAGAAACTGTAGCATCACGAGTCAGTTACTGTTCACTTAACCTACACTGTTCAAACAGTACCGGTCATGTAACTTGTACTGTAGCAATAGTGATTTTTCAATCTATTTAAAGGATTGCTTCAGTATGTTGAAGGCATCTTTTTATTAGCTGAGTTTAGAGAGATAGTCTAGAGAGAGAGACTGCGAGGTACTTCTGAGTTTTCTCTTCTTCTCTGTTTTCTCTTTAATCTTTCAATCTGTAACTGTAATCTCAATCTTTATGTTTTGAATAAAAGTGTTATTTCATATCTGCTTATGTAATGAACTCTTCTCTTCTCCATCCTTCCACCCAAGTTTGACTTCGGCCTACCGTATACAGCTTGGGTTCTCACCTTAAATTTATTTTATGTTTTAATTTCTGCATTTTAATTTCAGTCATTTATTTCATATAGTAGTCCGTCTACTTTCCTGCTTTCCATTTCTGCTCTAGTTTACTTCATTTCCCTCCTCACACTAGGTTGTATTATTTTAAGTGAAAGAAAGAGATAAATTACGAGGAAAAAGAGTGGACAAAAAAAAAATTAAAGTATGGGTCCCACCTCTTTCTAAAAGTAAAATGACATAAGTTGTTTCATTGAAAAGAATAAACACTTTTTTCAATAATAATTTATTATTTAAACTTTTATGTCCACAATAAAGTGTCAAACTCACAACTATAAGCAATGAAACTTACTCATTCAAATTGGATGGATGGTCCCGGAGGCGATCTTCTTGTCTTTATCTAAATATATATGATGATGATTTGGGGGAATTACAATGCAACCCAATGAGAAAATAATTAAATTTATAACAAGACTTGACAACCTATAAAATATATTTTAACCGAACAATAAAGGTGATGAATTTATCGAATCACAATCTATACAAGATTTATAATAATAATAATAATAATATTTTATCAAAATAATAAGCAAATGAAATCAAACGGTAAAAAAAAAAAACTTATAAATCTAAATTATATTATATAAACAAATAATAATTTAATAATTTATTAAAATAATATATGCATTTAAGCATGGAGGAGGATATTCTTATTATCAAAAAAATTTACTACTAACCCACTACCTATCTAATTATTATTGGACATTTTTTTTCTTCAGAAATTTTTTAACATTCTCCCTCGCTAATTCAATAGTAATTAAATAGGTAATGAGTTGATAGTGAATTTTTTTGATAATAAAAATATCCCCTCTAGTATGATGCAATATAGAACTTCAACATATCATGTTATGCTAGACAGAAATTTTTGATTTTCCTTGAAGTTTCTGATGATACGAAACTTGAGAAAGACTAAGACGTCATCAATCGTATTATCGTAGCCGCCTTTTAAATTGTAGGATGCTCATGCAGCATGTTGAGTTGCACCATATTTCTTGGAAAGCAAATTTTTGTACACAAATCTTAAACACACACGTAAATATTGAACTATTTCATTTCATGACACTAAACGAAGAACCAGATATTTTGACCTTACAGGCGTTTGTATAACTATATTTATATCTCCCCACTACACCAAACACGGCCTTTTACCACGACAATTTATTTATGACTGAAAGACGTTGCAATTTAATAATGACTAATGTAATGACTAGTGTACACATTACCGGAGTTAAGAATAAAAAGAAAAAAGAAGAAGAAGAAGACCATGTCACGCGTTAGTATCATTTCTTTCCCCTTCACCGCAAAACCCTATTTCTCTTTCCCTCTCTTGTTTTTTCTTTTTCTGGAGATGCAGTTGGTGGTGTGAATTTTCCTCCATGTTTCGCTCTCTCTTCTTTAGATGTTGTTCGATTCTTATTCCGTTCCTCCACAAGCTAGGTTCGTAATCCGATTTTCATTTGAATCTCACCCCTGAATCTGAGTTTTCCTTCTTCCATATGTTTTTCCTTCAGATTTGTACCAATTCTGAGTGAAGTGTTTGCTTAGTTTTTGTTCATTTTTAGTTTCTAAGCTAGTCTCGTTAACAATAGCTTAAAACTAATTTATGGTTTTTTTATTTTCTTTTTCTTTTTTATATTTCAGGAACATTTTTTTCATTGTTTCCTTCAGTTTCTAAGCTAGATTGAGCTTTCGTTAAGATTTTGTGAAATATGAACTGGATTTAGTTTTGAAATTATATGTGTTTATGTTTTGATTAAATGCCCATATATGTTTGATATATGTTCTGAACCAAATTGGACAAGCGTGTGGAACTTGAATGCATTGGCAGTCAAATGCTGCAATCTCCAATCAGTATTATTTAATTCGTGGGTTTAATGATTTTTTGTTTTTGTTTTTTTTCCTTTTTTGGTAGATTTGTTTTTGTTTTTTATTCTCTCTATTCATACGCCTTTTACGGAGATGCAAACGTGTATTAATGGCATTTACAAAATTAGTTTTGGTGTATTAATATTATAGTTTTTGAAGCTTTTATGGCTATACAAAAATATACAGAACCTTTATTTTCTCTTAAATTCTTTCGTTATCCTTCCGCAGTTTAAACATGTATTTATTATAGTTTGTAATATCTGTTGATGTTTTGTAATTTTAGATATATAAAGAAGTCTTGAAATGATATTTGACAAACATCCTTTTAATATATGTGCAATTCGCTGCACCTTTTTATCACATTTTCCCCATCAAAATTTCAAATGACCTTTAGCAACATCCTTATCATGGCACCTACAGCATTCCCATGTGGGGCTTAACTATTATGCATGCTTTTTGCAGGGTTATATACTTTACTCTTTAAGACAGAAACTTAAACCAGAGTATATCGGCCTTTCTGGAAACAAAATTAAGAATTTGAAGTTGTCTGGTGTGGAGGTCAGTCTTAATTATTGTACTAATTAATAATTTGCACTTGTTAATTGGTAGTTTTCCATTTATTTGTTACTTGCATTTGATGGCGAGAAAGTAATGAACTTGCAGCAGGATGTAGAGTATTGACTATGGCCATGAAGGATGAATTAAATTTGTAGTCAACAGCTCAACATAATGTTTGTGTGATTTAAGTTCATTTGATGATTACAATAAAGTTTCTATAATTTAATTGTTTTAGTCTCCCTTTCTTAAACTTTAGATCCTGTGCACTATATAATACTAAAAAATTGAACACATCTAACATTGGTCCTGTCCTTGCTGTACCAAGAAAATAAAGTTTTGTCTGTTGTCGAGGATTTTCGCTTCTGATATGCTGAATCATATCATTCAAATTGAGCTTTATGTAAAATTGCTATTATTTAATTAATTATTGTTCTTAAGAAGTTCATTTGTACCCTATATTTGCAATGAATTTTGGAATAGAAGTTCTAGTGGTCCATCTTTGATATCATTTGGTTTCACTACACATGCTCAACCAAGCTGGGTTGTTTGCAGATAACATACACTTTGACAGAACCAGAGATTATTTTCACAGGAGACACCATGTCAGATTTCATAGTTGATGAAAATAACACTGATGTCTTGCGGGCTAGAGTTCTTGTATTGGAGGTGAACTACTTTATCCACACTTTAGTCAAGGAATAGTTTTACATTCTGCCATGGTCCACATTTAATTGTTGGCTCTTAAAAGTTACATAATACAGGAGCAAGAGATTACCTTGTTGACATTCAATTTACATAATCCATGATTTGGATCAATTTACAAATTTGTTTGAGCATCTAATCCATAATTCTTTCCTCTACAAAATACCGATTGTGAAAGGTACCTTGAACACCTCCATAATCAAATTACAAGCAAGCATCTCACTGTCCTTGCCTTTTGGATTTCAGATGCTTTGTTAATTTTATCTATTTACTCTGTAATTTCAAGAGGCTTTATTTTGAGTCTTTGACCATTGTTTTCTCATTTTTTGTCATTGCTTTTTCTTACCCAAACATAAGCCTAGTTTTTCCGTGTTTATGGTGATGGTTGGTATTTTAGTTTTACAAACAAATCTTATTTATTCTACTTTGTTCATATAGTGCACCTTTGTTAACAATTCAATTACTGTGGAACATGCCAAAGATTATGGACACAGTCACCTGTATGAGGTATGCTACCTGCTGCAATCAATAGCACACAAAGTTTCGTGTAAATATCAGTGGTTTTATCATTTTATTTTATTTTATTTTTCTTCTAATGAATGTTCTTCAGATAATAAGTTATGCTGAGAGGTTACAGAACAAAGCAATCCTTTTGATTCATTTTTCAGCGCATTACACAGTAGAGGTATGACCGTATGACATTATTGTTTTGTCCCTAAAAAAATGTATTTGAGCAAGTTGAGTTCCTGGGCTATGGACAAAGCCTCTGTACCGAATAAGTCGACGATGAACACTGAAGGACGAACAGTCACGTTTTGGGTCTGCAAGATGTTAAGGCTGAAGAAGAGAATGTGATGAAGCTTTTGTCTGATTTGGCTCATGCTCTTGGTATGAACTATGTCTTTGCTGAAAGCTGGGCACCCGAATACGGCAACGCCGTTTTGTCCAAGTGGCCCATCAAACGATGCAAAGTTCAGAAAGTTTTAATTCACACTAATTTCAGGTTAGGACTTTACTTAATTAATTACCATGTTATAATTATTTCTATTTTTATTTTTAATTCTGTGACTGTGTGTGTGAAGAATCTTGATCCTGTGCCATTGCTAAGGAAAAGTGAAAACATAATCACTTTTATCATAAAGTCTTCAATTATTCCAAAACTATGCAATATAAAAACAAGTATCATTACTTATGCGTTGTTTATACATAGGTTTTCTCAAAGTGTAATTTTCAATCCTGAAACTGACACACCCTTTTTTCCTTAATTTCTTCCTTTTGCAACTTGCATTGATAAGATACATGGCATCTTAACTGAAACTGAAATAGTAGCTTTTATATAAAGAATAATATTTATTACATGTTTTAATTATTTAAAGAAAATAAAGATGAGAGTCAGAGTAGGGGGAAGGGGTAGGTGATTTATATATGCATGTTATATCATATATATAGTTCAATAATCTCTTTATCACACAAGTGTGTGTATATATATATATATATATATATATATATATATATATATATGTATATATTGTACTTGTGTGTGGAGTTGATCAGGTGATATAAATATATATATATCTCTTTGAGTATGCTGCTCATCCATGGTTATGCAATACCCTATATTATATCATGATATTGTTAGAAATAATCAAGTGTGAGTGAGTAGTGGTGAAGTAAGTTCCACATAGGCTAGACATAGACCAAGTGATGACCATATAAGTGCAAAAAGACCCATAAACCTACAGCCTTAAGGTTTTGGGTTGAGACATGGTGTCGGATCCACTTGCTACGGTTGGTGTAGCCTTAGCTCATTGGTGGTGGCCCCCCGCCACGGGCTTCCCCTGGACCCGCTTGACATTGGAGTTTGAGGGAACGAATTTCCCAACAGTGGTATCAGAGCGAACGATCTGAGCTAAGTGTTTGGAAGGCCTCTGCAGAAGGCTAGTGTGACCCTAATATTTGAAGAGAAAAAAGACTTCCGCAGAAGTTGACCTTAGAGTAAGAATGATATTGGGCCTCACACTTGAGGGAGGATGTTAGAAATAATCAAGTGTGAGTGAGTAGTGGTGAAGTAAGTTCCACATAGGCTAGACATAGACCAAGTGATGACCATATAAGTGCAAAAAGACCCATAAACCTACAGCCTTAAGGTTTTGGGTTGAGACATGGTGTCGGATCCACTTGCTACGGTTGGTGTAGCCTTAGCTCATTGGTGGTGGCCTCCCGCTACGGGCTTCCCCTGGACCCGCTTGACATTGGAGTTTGAGGGAACGAATTTCCCAACAGATATATATGCATATAAATCATATATAATTCATATATCTGTATATAATATATGTGTTCAGTTTTCCGTCGAGCCAAGAATCATTGAACCTCTGCTGTTTTTTTTTTTCTTTCTTCTAATGAATTTTCTTTTCTTTGTTGCTTTTGCTGTTCAGGAGGGTTTAGGTTTTGGGTTAAAACACGCAAAGAAATTCCATTCCTCTCCTTTTTTTTTTTTCTTAACTCTTAATTTTGTTCAGATCAAGCCTCAATGATTATATATTTTGAATGAACACAAATAAAGCTAACCGATGGATTCTTCAAAATAAAGAAGAGAAAGATTATTGTGAAGAAGTTAATTTGCTCAAATATAACAAAGTTACACCCACTTCCGCACATACACTTCTCTAAGAATTTGTTTTCAATTTTGGGGATACAACATGCGTAAACGATTTAGTATTGGTACAATTAAGTGTATATATACTCTTTTTTGTGTGTTTTTCTCTCTTCAGGAAGGACAATTTTATTTTTTCGATGGAGAGAATCTACCTGTCCTAGTTAGAAAATCATAGAATACCCACTGAACCTGGGAAAGCCCTTATTTAATTTTCTTTTTGTTAAAATTACTAACTAGATGAGGTGGTGAATCTCTTGCAAACCATGAGGGGGAGAGATAGTCTTTGCCTACATATGTCATATTCATTTTCTATGATCTCAAGTCTTTAAGTTCTGGCAAAAAGATTTGCTAGCCTTAATTTTCATCTTTTTTATTTTTTTAATCTAAAGTTTTGGTTTTGTTCCCCTTGTGCTGTATACTCGCAACTGCTTTTGTTTGGGTGATCAACACGTAATTGCATAGATGTCATGTCCATTTTTTTCTTCTTATTTTTAAAACTAATTTGATAGTTATTGTTTATAAAGGGGCTACTTTTCGTTGGTTAATTTATACTCATGCTTGTCCCCTCTCAGTAGATGGGTGCAATTCCCTAGATAAACCATGTCAACAGTTAACTAATTCAAAAAATGAAATTCTAATATCTTAATACTTGATTGGATCGATGGTACAAGTAAGTATTTTTCTTATTTGTTTCATTTCAGTTTTGTACTAGCGCACGTTTGTGGATAGATGTCATATAGAAACTTATGAAATTATATGTAAAGATTCTCCAATACGATATAATTGATGTTAAATAGTGATATAATTTATTTATATTTTATAATATTTTTTTTGGTTTTTTGAGCATAAGAGATTATATAATTTTAGTTCTTCTTCAAGAAGAGTGTGGGAGTGATGCCTTGCAAAAAGATCAAATGTTTTATTTTTTTACTCTGTTTTCCCTCAATGTCAAACATTTAAAGACAATTTATTAACTGTTGGCGAAATGGTATTATTATATACTTCTTGGGTTGGTTGATGTGGAGGCAAATTTTCTTGGTAAGTGTTTCACGATGGTAGAGACACAGTATTAAGTAAAGAAAGCATTGTTGAAATTAATACATTTAAATATCCATGTCTAAATTACTTGAAGAGTAACTCTCCTTTCTTTTATATTTATCATTGGACTCTTCCTATGTATTAAAATGAAGATTTGAATGATCTTACTTTCAATGATTTGCAAACTAATTCTCATCTAATGAACAGTTGTGAAGGCATATCAATACACATCACTTACAAGTGTGATGCTGCTTGACTGCTGGTCAATTCCATCCGTCATGCTTCTTTCTTACAAGTATGTTGTAAGCAAGAAAAATTGTGTACTCCATTTTATTTACTCATGAATAGAAAAAAAAATGTATTGTGTTAAATTGTGTACTCCATTTTATTTTATTATCTCCCGTAATTTGATTTTTGGTTCTTGTATCAAATGCAATTTTTATTATTTTCTTTTTATATGATTGGGAAAATTTGTAATATTTTAAAAAAAAAATTCTTATAATTAGCCACGGTTTTGACTGTGGCAAAATAAAACTTTTTATCATTGGGATCCAAATCATTTAGCCACGAATATAATGTGGCTAATATAACATAAACTGTGATTAACTTAATGTTACCACACTCATACAGACCGTGCTTAAATACAAAAAATACTGTGGTTAAAATAATGCAACGCCTGTTTTAGCCACGGTTTTTGAAACAGTGGACAACTCATTTAGCCACTATTTGTTCATATATTGGGGATGTGCTATTTGTAACAGCCCGTTACGTACCGGTATTGTTAACATTAATTATGATATTAAGCGCAGTTACAATCACAGCAGTTCATTTATAAAAACGCGAATAAATTTTTTTCGATTATTACGCGAGCATTTAAAACATAAAAAGGCGTAATAATTAAAAGCTGTGACCGTAACCGTAAACTCTTGCGGAAGACTTATTTAACCTATTTTTATAACTTACATTACTTATTATAAGTTACTAAGGAGTTCCCATAAACTCACTTAGCCAATTTCCAAACTTTACGTTTTTACCAATTCGAACATGTTTCACTCTAAATTTTTCTGCGACCAAACCGATCGCTATCAAACTCTTTTCTCCGATTATATCTTTGTCTTACTTAATTCCCTTTTCAACAAGCTATCATATGCTAAATTCGGAGCTCATTAGCTCCGGTTATCGCCGTTTGAAGTTGGATAAGCAATTAGCCCAAACAACCCCAAAAACAGCTCCAAACCACTCACATTGCTCGAATTACTGCACTCAATCCACTCAACCATTTGCTCTCAAATTTTTATCCTACAAACTAGACATCTCAAACTTCATTTTGATATATCACACGCTCAATTTGACTGAGAAACGAAGCGGGTATTAATTTCCCAAATCCGGTCCAGAATCTGCCTCAGGTGCAGGGGCACATGGGCAGTCCGTGCTTCTCTATTTTTTTCAGGCCGAAGATCAACCCAGAATTTTCTCAAATTTTGACACAAGGTAGAGGACATCTCAACCTTCAAAATGGCGTATCGAACGTCCCTAGGGGACCTCTATGGAGGGAGATATGCTCTCCCGAAGTTCGCCTAAAATCTGCCAATTCTACAGAAAATTCGCCAGAGTTTCCTTTGTTTTTCCAATAATCCGAAATTTGTAAAAGATCCTTTAAACCTCAATTGTACCTAATAAACACATGATAATACAACAATAATCCAATGGGTGGCACACACAAGGACCAACAACGCCTTGGGGCACTTACAACCCAATCCAGTTTATAGTTATTAAACATAGAGTCCATATTAATCATTCTTAAGTAGTTGCAATCACTAACACCTTTTTCATGCATATTTCCATCATACATATTATCATAACCTAAAATAGGCCTAAGGCCCTTCCATCATAATTAGACATGCATCAATACTATTACAATATGGCTTTACAAACTACAACTTGAAACTAAAACTTCAAATTACATTCTTCTAAAATTTCAACTTAATTAAAAGACAACATAACCAAATACATCACTACTAGACTTAGGCAAAATGGCATGAACAAGATGCTAATGAAGCTACTAATAAATACAAATGACATGTTCATGCCCTAAGTCTAGCCTAGGCCACACGGCCAACAAAATGCAAAATAAGAAACGCTCCATCGCTCACTCTGCGGGCCTCTTGCCCGAGGCTCCTGCTCCACTGCTACCTCCTAAAATAAATGCCTCGAGACGGGGTGAGATATACGAATATATCTCAGTAACCAAGAGGTTCTGGAGAAAACTCCACCCAATGGTTCACTTCGATGCATATCAATAGAATACAACAACCACCTTGAAAACGAGATATAGCAAGGGATTTAGAGAATGGGAAATATAAAGAAAACAAAATACGACGATACGGGATGGTAACCCCAATTCCACGTACGCCCTCGGCATATATAAGCCTATGGGTATCATCCAAGGTGTGTTCACAGAAACCACAACCATGATGCCCAAACCAACCAAAACGCCAAAGACATTCCTAGTGTGCTCCTACCCGGATCACACACCATGACCGCAGTCAACTGGAACTCCCTCCTGGAGACCTATCCATCGGAAGTCCGAAAATGCCCGAAGGCTAATAAAACTGTCTACTGGCCAGAGACTCGGTACCGCAGTACCCATAGTAATAATGCATGCATGCTCATGTGTTCTATACTATTCATACACACTTCCTACCGTTGCCATCAACCGGCAAGGTGGAACAGAAAAGGGGAACAAGCCCCAGTACCAAGAGGTTACCTTAATTCGTGTTTCCACAAGCTCCGCAGCAGCTTATCCCTCAACTCGGTACACAGCGGAATGCCTACACAGAGGACATTCCCAATCACTCTCAGTTCAACCCATACATGTTAATTTATAATTACACATGCAATGAACCAATTTCTTACCTCAATCCACTTGGTCCCGGACCAAGGGCAACTCACTGATTCAAGATTCGGGATTCAGGTCGACGTACGGCAACCTATACAATAACGTACATCCATCAGTACTCGTCAAATAGTATCAAAACGCAAAAACACAAAAATCCTCCCCATCCTCCCTTGATGGTTCGGCCATTGTAGTGTAAATGTGAGATTTATTTTTCTAAATTTTCTTTCTCATTTTGTTACGTCTCATTAGGTTGTCAATAGGCCAGTTCAAGTGCCGGTTCGTCATTTTCGCGTCGAATTACATCAAAACGCGAAAATCGCCAAATCACCCCTTTTCCCCTTGGAGGTTCGGCCATGTAGGTGTAAATTTGAGATTTATTTTCCTAAATTTTCTCTCTCATTTTATAACACTCCCTTAGGTTGTTTAGAGGCTAGTTCAATCGTCGTTTTTCCGTTTTCCGACATTTACGCATCGTTTTGCGAAATATTTCATTCTGGGCTCATTTAGGTCTCTAACACAATTCATTTTTTTTCCATTGATTCAAACACTGTCCAAGCACAACACAACCCATCTAAGCACCATATAACTACACAAATCATCATCCAAATCATTTTTCAACATCGATTCCTCAATCTTTCCTCAAAGAATCGAATTTTACCCTATGGCATTCCAAGGAATTTCCATACAACTTTAATCATTCCACACCTCATACAATCCTATTATATCAACATACAATCATACAACAACTCATCAATCCAATCCTAACACATTTTCAAAACTCAAAGTCATGACAACCTCAAAATTTTCTAAGTTAAAAATTCACATTTTTCATCAATAATTTTTATTGCATTTATGGCTACTACACATCATTCTAAGACACATTCATGTACAAACATTTTCCAATTGAGCTCTCTAAACACATCAATCCAACAAGCCCTCTTTAGGGTTCATAAATTCAACCACAAAATTAAACCATTGGAACACAAGGAAACTCACCCAAAAGCTTGGCACAAGGCTCCTCCTAAACATACTCCACCATTGGAGCATCAATCAACACCATTTTCACAAATCTAAAGGAAAGGGCCGCAGCTTTGGGGAGGGTTTTTCTCAAAATCTAGTGGCTTTCAAGGCTTGGGAGTACCACCAATGGATTTAGAAGGCCATTTCCATCAAATTTCAAGACAAGAATCAATGGATTTGGTGAAGAAATGGCTAAGTTATGGTGAAATGAAATCTTGGAGGTGAAGGGCTATGGTGGCTGCGGGTTTGAACAAGAAGAGGGAGGAAAGTGATGCATGAATAGTGCCAAGCACATGTGGCTTAAGTCACTTAAGTGGGGTGGGTCCCACCGCCACCTCACGCGATTTAAAACTAATCCGAATTTTCCTCCGATTCCACTAAACGTCCGTAAATTCACAACCTATTTAGAAACTCTAATTTTTAACATTAACCATTGTCCTTTAATTATACTTGATCAGATGAATCCAGAGTTTTCCGGTCGTTCGGAGAAAACACTGTTTTAAGCTATTGCGCACGCCGTTGGCACGCTTCCCCAAAATGACTTAATTCCATCAAATTTTATCAAAATCATATTTCCTAACTCAATAAACCATTTATAACTCATATTTGAAACCTAGAGCTCAAAACTCCACTGGCACGTTTTACGGTGCAATCGTATCGCGGTATTTTTACCCGCAAAAACACTATTCACTGATTTTTCTGAAACTTGCCTGTCCACTCAATTTTTTGTTCTGAATCCATTTCCAGGGTTATTTTTATCATCTGAGACCTTCTACTCAATTTTTATCTTCGTAGGGTTGCGTGTTGGCTAACTACCGTTTTGCCCTTTCTTTGTATTTTGGCCTAATCTTTAGGATTTTCACTAATCCATCACTTGATTGCTCACTTAATATTTTAATTACTTGATTTAAAATTGTGAGGTGTTATATTCACCCCAACTTTTTAGAATTTTGTCCGCAAAATTAAATCATACTCATCCGCTAACTCAGGATACAATCGGAGAATCTCATCCTCCCGCTCCCAAGTAGCATCCTCAAGTGTGTATCTCTACCATATTACTTTTATCACAAGCATGATCTCCTTTGTATGATACTCATTATCCTTTGATCCTTCACAATTACTCGTCTCTCATGGTTCTGTGACCTTTTAATTCACAATACTTTACACTTTCTCTGGTCTCCTGTTACCCTTTCGCTGATTTGTAGGTAATAATATAACAATATTACGGATTTGTCGGTATCAATTTACCTCATTCTCATCTTTATCCATCTTTCTGACCCATGGTCGTTCTCAAAAGCATCTAATCGCTTTCATGCACATTCACTAGTTATTCCTGGAGTATTTCCAACTCACGTTCTTTAGTACTTAACTTTTTTCGCGGTCCTCACTGTTTTGACAATACCCCAACAATCATTTCTTTCCATTACTGTCACTACTCTTGTCATTTCGTTGTTTTCTTGGCTTTCACCCAACCACAT